TAGGTTTTTGAGACAGGGTCTTACTATGGAGTTCAGGCCTTGAACTCACTATGTAGCCCAGGCTGGCCTTGAACTCACAGCAATCCACCTGCCTCAGCCTCACGAGTGCTGAGATTACAAGGATACACCACCACACCTAGTTTAAAAATATTTTTAAGACAAGCTGCCTCTGATTAGAACTATATTACTTAAAAGATATATTGTTACAATATATGATCAATTTACAAGAAAAAACTTTTTGATTATGAGTAGTTAAAAAATCATATTATGAATCATATTTATGTCCTAAACTGCAAGTGTCATATGTGGATGTAAACATTGTATATCTAGAAGAGGACGCATAATACACATAGGAAGAGAAAAACCTGAAATCTTTGCCTTTCAACCTTGCAAAGTTCTGTAAAATCAAAATGAGTTTTTAAAGCCATATTTTTAAGTACTTAATTTAAGCAAAGAGTAGACAGTAAAATAGCATTTTCTTCAAAATCAGGGAGAAGCAAACAAGCCTTTTTAGCATCTCTTGAAAATATTAGCATTAGGTCATATAACCAAACCCATTGATAGACCAAGTAAATGATAGTTAACCGTTTTCAGTAAGAATTAAAAAAAACCCCAACTGTTAAATGAGTTGTTCTTATACAGCTTATTAACTTTACATATCTTAAAAATGATGAACAAATACAATCCTCAATTACTTTGAGACTTACTACTTAAAACCTAGTTTTAACTTGTGACTTATAGTTTAACAAATGTTTCTATTTTCCGATACTTCTTATCCCTCTAGAAGAGTTATTCTAAAACTTATTTGAGGGCCAGATATCCTTTGATCTTATATCACAATATTATGCATCTATATCAGCAATCTATGAAATTCATTTAATAGACCCAAATATACTTAGATGTTTTATTATAAACTTATCCCATTAACATTTAATTTATCTTTAAAGGTCACGATATTAGATCAACATAAGTAAGATTTACTCATTTCTTTGTCAAAGGAAACCTAAAGTCCCTGTACTCAAAGTATAGAAAGCAACAGACATTGTATTTTAAATTTTAACAAACATAAATATTATACTAATTGATTATCAACCTAGGCAAAATATATTTCACCAAATTTAAAGACACCTTTACTCTTACCACCAACTTAAATTATCTCACTGTTATGCCATGAGAACAAAAAGCATTTAGGCTAATATGAGAGTGCCCATTTATCTATAAGCCAACTTGAATAGAACTTTTAGAGAATACCATACACCTAAAAGTTATCATATGGAAGCATACATATTAACCTAAATCATTTGTAATCTTCATGCCACCAAACTTTAAGATTCTTATTTGCAAATTTTATGTAACCCTTGAGCTTTGTAGTTGTTTACGTTTTAATGTTGTGAGTTGGGTAACTTGAATATTTACATAACCCATTTTATATGGAAAGTCTTAACAGAGACAGAGGTCTGTGAGAGCAAATAAGTAAATAGGTAGATAGATAGATGGATAGATATGAGTTCAAAATTTTGAATTGAAGCAGCTGCAAATACTCTAGCCACTAGTGATTAAAAATGGATTAACATCAGATGAACAGACAAGAAAACATATAGAGCAATCACGTTAAATTGTTCATTTAATGAATGCACTCTTGGATGCATTGGCCATGCCAATTTATAATAATTATTTTCTTAGTTTTAGATTTATCACCATAAGTAAACAAGTCAGCCTTTCCTAGGGGTTATAAGCACTTCATATATGAGACACAATAGCATGTCCTTTAAGCTACTCTTGAGTACTTTTTTTCCTGTTAGTTAACACTCTGTATAGACTTATAAATAATAACAATCAGAAAGGGGGGGAGAGAGAGAAGGGCTGTAGCTTGCTAGATGGGATCTTTGCTTGTTTTTCCTCCTTATTGTAAATCCAAGTATGGGGTCTTGTCTCTTTACTCTTTAACTTATATTTAGAGGACTATAGAGAAAAATCAATATTTTATAAGCTTGCATCTTAAATTAGTCCCATGTTCATAAAATATAATCTAAAGGTAAAGTTTTTGGGGACACACATTGAGTTATTCATAATCAATTGAGATGTACTAAAAAAGAAAAGAAAAGAAAAAGGAAAAAACAGAATCCCAGGGTTAGATTTCTCAAATGGAATTGCCCTACTTCCCAAGGTCAGAACTGCTACTTGATGTACATAGTGTTGTTTTTCCAGTCTAATAGCTTTTCATCATTCACTTTGAGTCTCAGGGGAAATTTTATTCAGCTTTAAGATGTGGTTGGAGAGCGAACAGTGTTAGCATCAACTGCACTCAAGAGAAGACAGAGGAGGCTGGAGTTAATCTCAGGAAACAACAGGGAAGAATAAGAAACACAGAGCCATAATAGGATAGACATGTGTTATTAGGTCAAGGTGAAAGTTAATCCAATCCATGAAGGTTTCTTCTAAGCTGAGAGTAAACAGAGGAAGGGATGATTTTACTGAGACCCATAACCATAGTAGTAAGGTTCATCAGGGCGAAATCCATAAGCTGTGGCAGGGTGTCCAAGAATACCAACCAGATGGCCAAAGCCATCCATTCCAAGGCTGAAAGAGAAAAAAGCAATACGCTGTGTTTTTAATCACAAATCTATAATGTAGGTCAAATAAGAGGCTCAGAATTTTACACCTCCAAGATTTTCTGGCACTGATAGTGAATTATAGGAATATCAGCCTTTTTTTCTTCCCTAAATTAATGAAGTCATTAAAATGTGTATAAAATGTTTACTTCTCACAAGATGTATGTTAAAAATGTCAGAAATCTGTCATCAAATTACTATTCAAAACAAAGTGAAGAATCAGATCAAAAAGGTTTCGTTTAACAAATGCTCTATGACAGAATATGAAAAGGTTTTGCATCTAAGAAGTTATCACTGCTAGGCAATGATTAATTTGATAGCCAAGTTTGATATGCAGATTCTTCTGATTTCTCAGTGCAAAAAAATTGCTATGTGATTCTTCTGAATGACAGCAGGACAATCATAAATCATAATTCAGCTTATTCTGTGGAAATATAGTAACTGAAGTCCATTCAGAGTTGTAAAGATAGCCTGAAGCATCAGTATACTTCAAGATTTTTTAAAAAAATTATTGAGTCTATTGACAAATTATTTAGGAGACATTTATTCTCCAAAGTACTTTTTTTTGGTACCAGAAATCGAACTCAGGACCTTGTGCTTGCCAGGCATGCATGGTGCCATGAGCTAAATCCCCAGTCCTCCAAAATACTTTTGACTCAAGGAATTATTCCACACTTAGAAAAATGATAAAATATTTATTTTGCCAGGCAAATATGATAGCATACAATGAATGCTACTGAGGTTAATTTTCAATCAAGAAGCCATCTATAATGTAGAAATGTAAGCTTTGACTGAAATAAATATATTTAAATGATTTAAGATTTGAAGCTGTACTACATGGAGATTTTTCATTAAAAATCTCAGTATCATTAAAAAATATTCACATTGGCACTAACTTCCCCTCCCACTCAAAGAGTGTGAGATTAAGGTCAAACAATTTATGTGAAGTTTTAAAATAATTTGTGTGTGAGTGTGTGTGTGTGTGTGTGTGTGTGTGCATGTTTATTAGGATGGAGCTAAAGAGCAATATAAGATATACTGGTCATGAGAATCAACCTCTCAGGGGAAGAGAATTTCTAAACTATAAGTGTCAGGTTATCATTTGTACTGAGTAAACTAAGAAAACAAGTTTTTAAGGCTCTTTATATATATAAAAAAATCTGTGTCCATAGTTTCTCAAGGTTAGTTGAAATGTTTTAAGTCTGTATACTTTTTTTTAAATGGTAAAATACAAGCACCTCTTCCCACTTTGCTACCATAGGAAGACAGATTAAAATTTGAGATGTTAAGAAATATTATCCTAGAGGTAGCTTAAAAAATGTTTCTGAAAATAATGGAGCAGTGAACTGTTGTTCACTGATAAGATACATAGGTATAAGTTTAAGATTAGTAGGAAGGTTGGCTGCAGAAAACTTTTAGCACTACAGGCTAACAAAATATTCCTGGATTTAAACGACCTCTTGCGTATATAAGGGTTGATTATATAGCTTGTGGATTTCAACCCATTCCTTATTCATCTACTTATTACCTGCCTTTTGCACCTCCTCTGAGGTTGAAAGCAGAAGACTTAGATGAAACTCACATGTTCTCAATCTAGAGGCTGTGGTGGGACCTCTTTCAAGAATTTGGAAATAAGAGGCACTTAGTAGATCAGTGAAGGAATATGTAAAGGCACCTTCAAAGCAGAATGTATTTTTAGCAATCCCACTGTATTAGACCTAAACATGATTCTCAGAAGAGAGTGAGCCGGCCGTGCGGGCACCGACCAAGGAGCTTCTCAGCTACAGGGCTGGTGGTAGCAAACTAAGCAGTTCCTTGGGACACGGTGACCTATAACCTGACTTTTCAGGCAGGCTTGTTCTCAGTGAGGAAGAGTATTCAACAGATTCTCAGGGACTGAGGCCATTGAAATTGTATAGCTATCCTTTTTTTTTATTTCTATGATGAACAGGTAAATTTATTTCTTCTTCTTTGTTTCCCTCTTGAAACTGGGAACTGAACCTAGGGCCTTCTTGGTGAGCTTCACCCCCAGCCCTTTTAAATTTTAAATGTTGAGACAGGATCTCACTAAGTCACTAAATTTCCCAGGCTGGGCTTAAACTGGGGACCCTTCTGCCTCAGCCTCCCAGAGTGCTGGGATTAAAGGGAGGTGCCACAATACCCAGCTAGGCAAACTTCTTTTTACTGTTTACCCACATAGTACAAAATAAATTTTAGTTACCTGACCTACCAGATGGCTATATTTTCATTATAAATTGACAGGTGTTTTTTTTTTAGTGTCAGTCACATTTTTTGATAAAAATCTGTAGCTCCAAGTCAGTGAAAGTAAAAGCAGTCCTTGAGTACTAAGGAGTCTGAGGATCTGAACCTGCAAGTCAGGTCTTGAACATGATCATTTCGGGCTGCTGTGCTGATGTCCTGTTTATGTAGTCAACAGATCATCCAGACTCATCTGCGTATATTACAGCAGGTAGGGCATCATTTAACATTTTGTGTGTGTGTGTGTGTGTGTGTGTATATGAGAAAATCTGAAATTGACATTTTGTTTGTTTGTTTTTTGAGACAAGGTCTCACTATGTAGCTCAGGTTGGCCTTGAACTCACTATATAGCTCTGGCTGACCTGGAACTCATGGAAACCCTCCTGCCTCAGCCTGCTGAATGCTGGGATTACAATCATGAGCCACTACTCCCTGCCAAAATTGACTCTTAAGGCAAGGATTTGTTTTTGAATTATCCATCATAAATCACCACTGAATTTGTTGTTTTGAGACAGAAAAATACAATGGCTGACAGACAGGTGAGACACCAGACCAGGATGATGTTGGCTGTGAGCAGTTGTATTTTTTCAGCCCAAGCAAATTCCTCCTTGGCAGCCCCTGCCCTGAACTGATGCCCACTCCAAGTATGTGTCTCTCTTATCTATTCCTCTTTGGCAGACTCTACCCTGAACTGATGGGTATTCCAAATACGTGTCTACCTTATCTAGCAGACCTTACTCTGAACTAATGTTTTCTAACCTGAGTTTGAAGTTGCTATAGACCAATCAGTAATAATGATATCATATGGAACCAATCAACTGCTTTTGCTCCTGTACTTAGTTCCTGCTTACAAACCCTATATAAACTGTAGAAGGACAAAAGACAGTTTGCCTGGTTCTTTGAGGAACTATCCTGACCAGGCTCGTCGAGGTAATAAAGTTTGCTTTCTGCCTCCAAGTCCTGGGGGCCTTTCGGTGTTTCCCATTTGCCGTTACAATTTGAAGAATATTTAAGACATTATGTCCAGTTTGGAAGGTAAGTGGACAGATGTTAGGGACTTTGTATTATGAAAGATCAACTAAATCTGTAAATTAATAGCTTTTTAATGAAATCCACTTAGAAACAACAGTTCCTTTCCTTAATCTTATTTAATACAGTGGGGGAGTTGGACTTTCCAGGATGCTTAAACATGAAGACAGCTGTTCTTTTGGATCATGTGGACACTTATCCTACCTCCTCCCTTGGGATAAGGATGCAGCTTTGCTGATACAGAATCTGGTTCAAAACCAAGAGAGCTTAGTAGCAAGTTTTTCTTTAAATAGAAGGAAACAGGTTCTTCTTGTAAATTCTTCTGGAAGGGATAGAAACCAGGAATATAAAAAGACAGTGTCAGGCTGGGGATTTGCTCAGTGGCACTATGCCTGCCTGGCAAGGTCCTGCTGAGTTCAATTCCCAGTACCAAAAAAACAAAACAAAACCGGACAGTGTCAGCTGGGCATGGTGGTATTACCTGCAACACCAGCATTGTGAGAGGCTGAGGCAGGAGGATTGCAACAAACTTGAGCCCAGTCCAAGCAAGCAAAACCCTTTCCAATATAGGTATGTACGTGTGCGTGCGTGTGTGTGTGTGTGTATTTTAATGAACTGGGGAACTACGAAGGCTCTGTATTCAATCCCTAGTATTGGGAAAAAACAAAAGGGCAGTGCCACAAAAAAAGGGCTGTTCTAATCTAAAAAGACTTGATTTTGATTAAGGGATGCTAAGAACCAAGGGACTTGAATCTGTAATGTGGCTTTGTCCTGTGTGACCCTTTTGCTTCAGATGAGTCTGTGTGTTTGGCTATTTATATTGGGACTTAACCCAGTCGTGCGTTTTGTGTGTTGCTGTTTGTGCAAATTCTCTTCCTGCCACTCCTGTCCCTCATAAGAAGTCCTACATTAGCAAATGCTGCTACTTTTTGCTGTTTAAGAAAGGACTAGTTAGTGTTTCTATCCTTAATGTTTAGATAACATATTTTGGATTTTTCAGTTACCCAAGTGCAGTATGTTTTCTAGTCCAAAGAAAATAGTATCATTTGTTGTGAAAAGATAACCATTGTGCTATTCAATTTTATTTCTCAAGAACAATGACTTTTGGGTACCTAGACAGAGAAAGGAAAATAAAAATCATTAAAGTGAAAGTTATTTTTATGATCCAACAACAAATATAAAACCACATCTAGACTACTGTTTTATAAATTTACAAATGTAATTGATACACAGCAAGCAGAAGGATAAATTTTCTCTAATTGTTTTAAGATTTTAACCAAATTCTTAACAGACTTCAGGAGATGATTCAGAGTTGGGCAAATGAGTAGAATAAAGATAAGCCATGTACAGGATCCTAATAACCTCAATGAATGTAAACATTACATGCCATAAATGTGAACTAAGTTTAATGATAACAAGAATGAAAAGGAAAAAGGGTAAATAAAGGAGGAGGGAAGGAGTGGAGAACAGGTGGGAAAAAGTGATTAAAAGAAGAAATAATCTGTACATGTACCCACTCCCCAAGGTGATTGGAAAATTCATGTACTGCAAACATGTACTAATAAAAACAACTGGAAAGCGCAGGACCCAAGTTCTATCCCTGGTACCAAAAAAAACACAACAACAACAACAACAAAAAAAACAACTGGAAAAAATAACAATAAACATCAAGTAATTTTA